ACCCGGACACATATTGTGTGACACCGCGGCGTCCCCAGCAAAACAAACCGACGAGAGATTTAATGAATGAAGGAAATGTGAGCTAACAGGCTAACAGTTAGCATCTTCTCTACCCAGCAGCAGCAGTTGTAAAGTAACTAATTTACTCAAGTACTGTACTTAGGTACACATTTGAGGTACTTGTACTTTACCTCAGTATTTTAATTTGTTTCTACTGTGTACTTCTACTCCACTACAGTTCAGAGGTAAATGGTGTACTTTTACTACATGTATTTAATACCTTTAGTTACTTCTCAGATGTGGATGAATGATGTGAAATATAACCAAGTGTTAAATCAGACTTTAGTTCCACCTGGAGTAAATCCACAAGCTACCCTGCAGTATACAAAGTCATTCAAACTAGCTGCACCTTTACCAGCTTTGAGAACACTTTCATGATCAATCATTATAAAACATATCATATATATTATTCTGAAATGGACCAATCTGCACAATGACTACTTTTACTGTCGCTACTTTCACTATATTTTGATGAGAATACTTTTATACTTTCACTTGAGGAACATTTTGAATGCAGGACTTTTACTGTAACAGAGTATTCCTACACTCTGGTACTTCTACTTTTACTCAAGTACCAGATCTGAGTACTTCTTCTTTTACTCAAGTACAAGATCTGAGTACTTCTACTTTAACTCAAGTACAAGATCTGAGTACTTCTACTTTAACTCAAGTACAAGATCTGAGTACTTCTACTTTTACTCAAGTACAAGATCTGAGTACTTCTACTTTAACTCAAGTACAAGATCTGAGTACTTCTACTTTAACTCAAGTACAAGATCTGAGTACTTCTACTTTTACTCAAGTACAAGATCTGAGTACTTCTACTTTTACTCAAGTACAATATCTGAGTACTTCTACTTTTACTCAAGAACAAGATCTGAGTACTTCTACTTTTACTCAAGAACAAGATCTGAGTACTTCTACTTTAACTCAAGTACAAGATCTGAGTACTTCTACTTTAACTCAAGTACAAGATCTGAGTACTTCTACTTTTACTCAAGTACAAGATCTGAGTACTTCTACTTTAACTCAAGTACAAGATCTGAGTACTTCTACTTTAACTCAAGTACAAGATCTGAGTACTTCTACTTTTACTCAAGTACAAGATCTGAGTACTTCTACTTTTACTCAAGTACAATATCTGAGTACTTCTACTTTTACTCAAGAACAAGATCTGAGTACTTCTACTTTTACTCAAGTACAATATCTGAGTACTTCTACTTTTACTCAAGAACAAGATCTGAGTACTTCTACTTTTACTCAGGTACAAGATCTGAGTACTTCTACTTTAACTCAAGTACAAGATCTGAGTACTTCTACTTTAACTCAAGTACAAGATCTGAGTACTTCTACTTTAACTCAAGTACAAGATCTGAGTGCTTCTACTTTTACTCAAGTACAAGATCTGAGTACTTCTACTTTTACTCAAGTACAAGATCTGAGTACTTCTACTTTTACTCAAGTACAAGATCTGAGTACTTCTACTTTTACTCAAGTACAAGATCTGAGTACTTCTACTTTTACTCAAGTACAAGATCTGAGTACTTCTACTTTTATTCAAGTACAAGATCTGAGTACTTCTACTTTTACTCAAGTACAAGATCTGAGTACTTCTACTTTTACTCAAGTACAAGATCTGAGTACTTCTACTTTTATTCAAGTACAAGATCTGAGTACTTCTACTTTTACTAAGTACAAGACCTGAGTACTTCTACTTTTACTCAAGTACAAGATCTGAGTACTTCTACTTTTACTCAAGTACAAGATCTGAGTACTTCTACTTTTACTCAAGTACAAGATCTGAGTACTTCTACTTTTACTCAAGTACAAGATCTGAGTACTTCTACTTTTACTCAAGTACAAGATCTGAGTACTTCTACTTTTACTCAAGTACAAGATCTGAGTACTTCTACTTTCACTCAAGAACAAGACCTGAGTACTTCTACTTTTACTCAAGAACAAGAACTGAGTACTTCTACTTTTACTCAAGTACAAGATCTGAGTACTTCTACTTTTACTCAAGTACAAGATCTGAGTACTTCTACTTTTACTCAAGTACAAGATCTGAGTACTTCTACTTTTATTCAAGTACAAGATCTGAGTACTTCTACTTTTACTCAAGTACAAGAATCTGAGTACTTCTACTTTACTCAAGTACAAGATCTGAGTACTTCTACTTTTACTCAAGTACAAGATCTGAGTACTTCTACTTTATTCAAGTACAAGATCTGAGTACTTCTACTTTTACTCAAGTACAAGATCTGAGTACTTCTACTTTTACTCAAGTACAAGATCTGAGTACTTCTACTTTTACTCAAGTACAAGATCTGAGTACTTCTACTTTTACTCAAGTACAATATCTGAGTACTTCTACTTTTACTCAAGAACAAGATCTGAGTACTTCTACTTTTACTCAAGTACAATATCTGAGTACTTCTACTTTTACTCAAGAACAAGATCTGAGTACTTCTACTTTTACTCAGGTACAAGATCTGAGTACTTCTACTTTAACTCAAGTACAAGATCTGAGTACTTCTTACTTTAACTCAAGTAACAAGATCTGAGTACTTCTACTTAACTCAAGTACAAGATCTGAGTGCTTCTACTTTTACTCAAGTACAAGATCTGAGTACTTCTACTTTTACTCAAGTACAAGATCTGAGTACTTCTACTTTTACTCAAGTACAAGATCTGAGTACTTCTACTTTTACTCAAGTACAAGATCTGAGTACTTCTACTTTTACTCAAGTACAAGATCTGAGTACTTCTTACTTTTATTCAAGTACAAGATCTGAGTACTTCTACTTTTACTCAAGTACAAGATCTGAGTACTTCTACTTTTACTCAAGTACAAGATCTGAGTACTTCTACTTTTATTCAAGTACAAGATCTGAGTACTTCTACTTTTTACTAAGTACAAGATCCTGAGTACTTCTACTTTTACTCAAGTACAAGATCTGAGTACTTCTACTTTTACTCAAGTACAAGATCTGAGTACTTCTACTTTTACTCAAGTAGAAGATCTGAGTACTTCTACTTTTACTCAAGTACAAGATCTGAGTACTTCTACTTTTACTCAAGTACAAGATCTGAGTACTTCTACTTTACTGAAGTACAAGATCTGAGTACTTCTACTTTTACTCAAGTACAAGATCTGAGTACTTCTACTTTTACTCAAGTACAAGATCTGAGTACTTCTACTTTTACTCAAGTACAAGATCTGAGTACTTCTACTTTTACTCAAGTACAAGATCTGAGTACTTCTACTTTTACTCAAGTACAAGATCTGAGTACTTCTACTTTTACTCAAGTACAAGACCTGAGTACTTCTACTTTTACTCTAGTACAAGACCTGAGTACTTCTACTTTTACTAAGTACAAGATCTGAGTACTTCTACTTTTACTCAAGTACAAGATCTGAGTACTTCTACTTTTACTCAAGTACAAGATCTGAGTACTTCTACTTTTACTCAAGTACAAGATCTGAGTACTTCTACTTTTACTCAAGTACAAGATCTGAGTACTTCTACTTTTACTCAAGTACAAGATCTGAGTACTTCTACTTTTACTCAAGTACAAGATCTGAGTACTTCTACTTTTACTCAAGTACAAGATCTGAGTACTTCTACTTTTACTCAAGTACAAGATCTGAGTACTTCTACTTTTACTCAAGTACAAGACCTGAGTACTTCTACTTTTACTCTAGTACAAGACCTGAGTACTTCTACTTTTACTAAGTACAAGATCTGAGTACTTCTACTTTTACTACAAGATCTGAGTACTTCTACTTTTACTACAAGGTCTGAGTACTTCTACTTTTACTACAAGATCTGAGTACTTCTACTTTTACTCAAGTACAAGATCTGAGTACTTCTACTTTTACTCAAGTACAAGATCTGAGTACTTCTACTTTTACTCAAGTACAAGATCTGAGTACTTCTACTTTTACTCAAGTACAATATCACAGTACTTCTACTTTTACTCAAGAACAAGATCACAGTACTTCTACTTTACTCAAGTACAAGATCTGAGTACTTCTACTTTCACTCAAGAACAAGACCTGAGTACTTCTACTTTTACTCAAGTACAAGATCTGAGTACTTCTACTTTCACTCAAGAACAAGACCTGAGTACTTCTACTTTTACTCAAGAACAAGAACTGAGTACTTCTACTTTTACTCAAGAACAAGAACTGAGTACTTCTACTTTCACTCAAGAACAAGACCTGAGTACTTCTACTTTTACTCAAGAACAAGAACTGAGTACTTCTACTTTTACTCAAGAACAAGAACTGAGTACTTCTACTTTTACTCAAGAACAAGAACTGAGTACTTCTACTTTTACTCAAGAACAAGATCTGAGTACTTCTACTTTTACTCAAGAACAAGATCTGAGTACTTCTACTTTTACTCTATTACAAGATCTAAGTACTTCTACTTTTACTCAGGTACAAGATCTGAGTACTTCTACTTTTACTCAAGTACAAGATCTGAGTACTTCTACTTTAACTCAAGTACAAGATCTGAGTACTTCTACTTTAACTCAAGTACAAGATCTGAGTGCTTCTACTTTTACTCAAGTACAAGATCTGAGTACTTCTACTTTTACTCAAGTACAAGATCTGAGTACTTCTACTTTTACTCAAGTACAAGATCTGAGTACTTCTACTTTTACTCAAGTACAAGATCTGAGTACTTCTACTTTACTCAAGTACAAGATCTGAGTACTTCTACTTTATTCAAGTACAAGATCTGAGTACTTCTACTTTTACTCAAGTACAAGATCTGAGTACTTCTACTTTTACTCAAGTACAAGATCTGAGTACTTCTACTTTTATTCAAGTACAAGATCTGAGTACTTCTACTTTTACTAAGTACAAGACCTGAGTACTTCTACTTTTACTCAAGTACAAGATCTGAGTACTTCTACTTTTACTCAAGTACAAGATCTGAGTACTTCTACTTTTACTCAAGTACAAGATCTGAGTACTTCTACTTTTACTCAAGTACAAGATCTGAGTACTTCTACTTTTACTCAAGTACAAGATCTGAGTACTTCTACTTTTACTCAAGTACAAGATCTGAGTACTTCTACTTTTAACTCAAGTACAAGATCTGAGTACTTCTACTTTTACTCAAGTACAAGATCTGAGTACTTCTACTTTTACTCAAGTACAAGATCTGAGTACTTCTACTTTACTCAAGTACAAGACCTGAGTACTTCTACTTTTACTCTAGTACAAGACCTGAGTACTTCTACTTTTACTAAGTACAAGATCTGAGTACTTCTACTTTTACTCAAGTACAAGATCTGAGTACTTCTACTTTTACTCAAGTACAAGATCTGAGTACTTCTACTTTTACTCAAGTACAAGATCTGAGTACTTCTACTTTTACTCAAGTACAAGATCTGAGTACTTCTACTTTTACTCAAGTACAAGATCTGAGTACTTCTACTTTTACTCAAGTACAAGATCTGAGTACTTCTACTTTTACTCAAGTACAAGATCTGAGTACTTCTACTTTTACTCAAGTACAAGATCTGAGTACTTCTACTTTTACTCAAGTACAAGACCTGAGTACTTCTACTTTTACTCTAGTACAAGACCTGAGTACTTCTACTTTTACTAAGTACAAGATCTGAGTACTTCTACTTTTACTACAAGGTCTGAGTACTTCTACTTTTACTACAAGATCTGAGTACTTCTACTTTTACTCAAGTACAAGATCTGAGTACTTCTACTTTTACTCAAGTACAAGATCTGAGTACTTCTACTTTTACTCTATTACAAGATCTAAGTACTTCTACTTTTACTCAAGTACAAGATCTGAGTACTTCTACTTTACTCAAGTACAAGATCTGAGTACTTCTACTTTTACTCAAGTACAAGATCTGAGTACTTCTACTTTTACTCAAGTACAATATCACAGTACTTCTACTTTTACTCAAGAACAAGATCACAGTACTTCTACTTTTACTCAAGTACAAGATCTGAGTACTTCTACTTTCACTCAAGAACAAGACCTGAGTACTTCTACTTTTACTCAAGTACAAGATCTGAGTACTTCTACTTTCACTCAAGAACAAGACCTGAGTACTTCTACTTTTACTCAAGAACAAGAACTGAGTACTTCTACTTTTACTCAAGAACAAGAACTGAGTACTTCTACTTTTACTCAAGAACAAGAACTGAGTACTTCTACTTTTACTCAAGAACAAGATCTGAGTACTTCTACTTTTACTCAAGAACAAGATCTGAGTACTTCTACTTTTACTCAAGTACAAGATCTGAGTACTTCTACTTTTACTCAAGTACAAGATCTGAGTACTTCTACTTTTACTCAAGTACAAGATCTGAGTACTTCTACTTTTACTCAAGTACAAGATCTGAGTACTTCTACTTTTACTCAAGTACAATATCTTAGTACTTTTACTCAAGTACAAGATCTGAGTACTTCTACTTTAACTCAAGAACAAGATCTGAGTACTTCTACTTTTACTCAAGTACAAGATCTGAGTACTTCTACTTTTACTCAAGTACAAGATCTGAGTACTTCTACTTTGACTCAAGTACAAGATCTGAGTACTTCTACTTTTACTCAAGTACAAGATCTGAGTACTTCTCCTTTTACTCAAGTACAAGATCTGAGTACTTCTACCTTTACTCTAGTACCTGATCAGAGTACTTCTACCTTTACTCTAGTACCTGATCAGAGTACTTCTACCTTTACTCTAGTACCTGATCTAGTACTTCTCCTCCCTCAGGATGCAGGCAGAGTTCAGGGCTCCTCGGAGGCGTCCCAGGGTCCACGAGGCGTTCGAGGCTCCGCTCCCGGTGAACTCTGAGAGGAGTGAATATCGGGCGGAGCTCATCAACCAAAACCTGCTGGTCGTTAACCCGGAGCACATCAAGAAGATCCACAACCAGGTGGGTTAATCCACCTCATCGTGTGAAACAGGTCTGGGTTAATCCACCTCATCGTGTGAAACAGGTCTGAGTTAATCCACCTCATCGTGTGAAACAGGTCTGAGTTAATCCACCTCATCGTGTGAAACAGGTCTGAGTTAATCCACCTCATCGTGTGAAACAGGTCTGAGTTAATCCACCTCATCATGTGAAACAGGTCTGGGTTAATCCACCTCATCATGTGAAACAGGTCTGAGTTAATCCACCTCATCATGTGAAACAGGTCTGAGTTAATCCACCTCATCATGTGAAACAGGTCTGGGTTAATCCACCTCATCATGTGAAACAGGTCTGAGTTAATCCACTCATCGTGTGAAACAGGTCTGAGTTAATCCACCTCATCATTGTGGAAACAGGTCTGAGTTAATCCACCTCATCATGTGAAACAGGTCTGAGTTAATCCACCTCATCATGTGAAACAGGTCTGAGTTAATCCACCTCATCATGTGAAACAGGTCTGAGTTAATCCACCTCATCGTGTGAAACAGGTCTGAGGTTAATCCACCTCATCGTGTGAAACAGGTCTGAGTTAATCCACCTCATCGTGTGAAACAGGTCTGAGTTAATCCACCTCATCATGTGAAACAGGTCTGAGTTAATCCACCTCATCATGTGAAACAGGTCTGAGTTAATCCACCTCATCATGTTTCAAGGTTCAAGGTTCTTTATTGTCAATCTGACATAGCTACAGAGTAATTATGCAGTTGAAAATCTTATGTCACAGGCTTCTCCAACAATGCAACATAATAACATAACATAATAACAATAAGAGCAAGAGCAATACAAAAATAATAATAGTTATAAAAATGAAATAAAGTTATGATGTGGAATAGTGCAGTATGAGTCTATATACAAGTTATTGGAATGATATATATATATTAGGTATTAGATACATACTACTGAGTAGCAGTTGAATGTTTGAAGTTGTTTCAACAGTTCAATTTTTTAACAGTCTCACTGCCCGCGGGAAGAAACTGTCTCCGAATCTTCTTGTCCTTGCCAGGATGCTGCGGTAACGTCTGCCAGACGGCAACAGAAAGAACAGTTTGTGGCTGGGGTGATGGGGGTCTTTGATAATCCGTAGTGATTTCTTCCTGAGCCGCTGGGAGTGAAGGTCCTCCATGGATGGCAGCTCCGTCCTGGTGATGTGCTGTGCAGTTTTCACCACCCTCTGTAAAGCCTTACGATCGAGGTCGGTGCAGCTGCCGTACCAGGCCGTCATGCTGCCAGTGAGGATACTCTCTATCGTGCACCTGTAGAAGTTGCAGAGTATCCTGGAATCCATTTTGAACCTCCTCAGCCTGCGGAGGAAGAAGAGCCGCTGTCGAGCTTTCTTGGTGATGGTGGTGGTGTGAAGAGACCATGTCAGGTCCTCAGTGATGTGGACCCCAAGGAACCTGAAGCTTTTGACTCTCTCCACCGTAGTCCCATTGATGGCGATGGGGGCGTGTCCCTCTCCCTGCTGCTTCCTGTAGTCCACAATCAGCTCCTTTGTTTTGCTGATGTTGAGATGGAGGTTGTTCTCCTGGCACCAAGATGTCAGGTTTTCGACCTCCTCTCTGTATGCCGTCTCGTCATCGTCTGTGATCTGGCCGATGACGGTCGTGTCATCAGCAAACTTCACGATGGTGTTGGAGCTGTGTGTGGCCACGCAGTCGTGGGTGAACAGGGAGTAGAGGAGAGGGCTGAGCACGCAGCCTTGAGGGGCACCGGTGTTGAGAATCAGGGTGGAGGATGTGATATTTCCCACCCGCACTGCCTGGGGTCTGCCCGTCAGGAAGTTCAGGATCCAGTCGCAGAGGGCGCTGTTGAGCCCGAGGTCTCTGAGCTTGATGGCCAGCTTGGAGGGCACAGGTCTGTGAAACAGGTCTGAGTTAATCCACCTCATCGTGTGAAACAGGTCTGAGTTAATCCACCTCATCATGTGAAACAGGTCTGGGTTAATCCACTTCATCATGTGAAACAGGTCTGAGTTAATCCACCTCATCATGTGAAACAGGTCTGAGTTAATCCACCTCATCATGTGAAACAGGTCTGGGTTAATCCACCTCATCATGTGAAACAGGTCTGAGTTAATCCACCTCATCATGTGAAACAGGTCTGAGTTAATCCACCTCATCATGTGAAACAGGTCTGAGTTAATCCACCTCATCATGTGAAACAGGTCTGAGTTAATCCACCTCATCGTGTGAAACAGGTCTGAGTTAATCCACCTCATCGTGTGAAACAGGTCTGAGTTAATCCACCTCATCATGTGAAACAGGTCTGAGTTAATCCACCTCATCGTGTGAAACAGGTCTGAGTTAATCCACCTCATCGTGTGAAACAGGTCTGAGTTAATCCACCTCATCGTGTGAAACAGGTCTGAGTTAATCCACCTCATCATGTGAAACAGGTCTGAGTTAATCCACCTCATCATGTGAAACAGGTCTGAGTTAATCCACCTCATCATGTGAAACAGGTCTGAGTTAATCCACCTCATCGTGTGAAACAGGTCTGAGTTAATCCACCTCATCATGTGAAACAGGTCTGAGTTAATCCACCTCATCATGTGAAACAGGTCTGAGTTAATCCACCTCATCGTGTGAAACAGGTCTGAGTTAATCCACCTCATCGTGTGAAACAGGTCTGAGTTAATCCACCTCATCATGTGAAACAGGTCTGAGTTAATCCACCTCATCATGTGAAACAGGTCTGAGTTAATCCACCTCATGTTTTGTTTTCCTCAGGGTTTCTTTGGGAAAGGCGTCCTCTCCAGAGCCAGGCCAGACTACAGCATCTCTGACCAATGGGAGCGTGAGTTTACAGCATGACATCATCCTGAGTGCGGTCCAATCAGAGCTGTTCTCTGCCGTCAGCTGATCTCTGTTTCTGTTGCAGAACACGAAGGGTTTCTCCTACCTGTCGTCTCAACGTCCAGGTGAGTGATCACATCCTGTCAGTTAACATGATGACATCACATCCTGTCAGTTAACATGATGACATCACATCCTGTCTGTTAACATGATGACATCACATCCTGTCAGTTAACACGATGACGTCACATCCTGTCTGTTAACATGATGACATCACATCCTGTCAGTTAACATGATGACATCACATCCTGTCTGTTCACATGACATCACATTCCGTCAGTTAACACGATGACATCACATCCTGTCTGTTAACACGATGACATCACATCCTGTCTGTTAACACGATGACATCACATCCTGTCAATAAATCAATGTTATAAGTGTTAAAAGTGTTTAAGCGTCTTTGAGCATGAGGAAAAGTGCTATAAAAATCTAATGTATTATTATTATTATTATTATAAGTCCTAACGCCCCCCTCCCCCCTCCCCCCTCCCTTTGCAGGTATGATGAGCTCCTCAGGTGGGCGGGGGCTTCTCTCTCTGCTCAGGGATTGGATGAAGCAGCTGTCAGTCAGACCCTGCTGAGTGTCTCTCAGCCGGTAGAGATGGAGGATGTGAGACGAGAGCAGACACAAGACTCTGGATCTGGATCTGAATCAGATCCAGATCCAGATCCGGGTCCTGGTTTTGTGCTGGTGGTCTCTGACAGTGAGGTGAGGCTTCAGGCTTTTTTGTGCAGCAAGATTCATACAAAAATACTAAATAAAAATAGTGCAAGAAGTCTATATGCATGTGAATAGAATATGTACAAGAACAGAATGTGAAATTAAATTAGAAAATGCATTTCCTGCAGAAAATGCGTGCGAATGCTGTAAACTGTGAATGAATTTAGCTGAAAATGCAGAAAAAGCTGAATATGTTATTAGCTGAATGGTAGCTGCTTTTAGCTACAAAAATTGAGAAAAAGCTTAATATTTAAAAGAAAAGGTTTAAAAAAACATGTATAGCCTTGATGTCCTGAAATAGCTGAATAATGTAATAGTTGAATGGTTTCTGCAGCTGAAAATAGGCTGAAGGAGTTAAATATAAGATGTAAGTAGTAGTGAATGAATTTGTATTAAGATGAGAAAAGAAAGTAAAAAGGCTTGGGAAAGCAGCAGAATATTTGAACTGCAAACTTTTGAACTAACTTGATGGTGAATTATCTGTCGCGATGGCAACGGCATTTGATGACACCCCATAATATGCTTAGATGTGTTTTGGGCCATTTCGAGCATTGTCACTGAAGTTATGAGAAAACCGTGTTTCATGGTGAGCATTGTGTTGCCATGGCAACGGCATTTGAAGAAATCTCAAAACTGTCCCGTAGATGTCTTCACGGCTGGACTGTTAGCACACGTGAAGTTTGAGCACTTTTTGAACATTTTCATAGGAGTTATACATTACATTAGGAGGTTACATTACTCTCTCTCTTCTCTTGATCGCCCTCTCTCTTCTCTTGATCACCCTCTCAATCTTCTATCGCCCTCTCTCTCTTCTCTTGATCACCCTATCTCTCTTCTCTCTCTCTTCTCTTGATCGCCCTCTCTCTCTCCTCTTGATCGCCCTCTCTCTCTCCTCTTGATCGCCCTCTCTCTCTTCTCTTGATCGCCCTCTCTCTCTCCTCTTGATCGCCCTCTCTCTCTTCTCTTGATTGCCCTCTCTCTCTTCTCTTGATCGCCCTCTCTCTCTTCTCTCTCTCTTCTCTTGCTCGCCCTCTCTCTCTTCTCTTGATCGCCCTCTCTCTTCTCTTGATCGCCCTCTCTCTCTCTCCTCTTGATCGCCCTGTCTCTCCTCTTGATCGCCCTCTCTCTCTTCTCTTGATCACCCTCTCACTCTTCTATCACCCTCTCTCTCTCCTCTTGATCGCCCTCTTTCTCTTCTCTTGATCGCCCTCTCTCTCTTCTCTTGCTCGCCCTCTCTCTCCTCTTGATCGCCCTCTCTCTCTCCTCTTGATCGCTCTCTCTCTCTCCTCTTGATCGCCATCTCTCTCTCCTCTTGATCGCCCTCTCTCTCTCCTCTTGATCGCCCTCTCTCTCTCCTCTTGATCGCCCACTCTGTCTCCTCTTGATCGCCCTCTCTCTCTCCTCTTGATCGCCCTCTCTCTCTCCTCTTGATTGCCCTCTCTCTCTCCTCTTGATCGCCCTCTCTCTCTCTTCTCTTGATCACCCTCTCTCTCTTCTCTCTCTCCTCTTGATCGCCCTCTCTCTTCTCTTGATCGCCCTCTCTTTTCTCTTGATCGCCCTCTCTCTCTCCTCTTGATCGCCCTCTCTCTCTCTTCTCTTGATCGCCCTCTCTTTTCTCTTGATCGCCCTCTCTCTCTCCTCTTGATCGCCCTCTCTCTCTCTCCTCTTGATCGCCCTCTCTCTCTTCTCTTGATGGCCCTCTCTCTCTCCTCTTGATCGCCCTCTCTCTCTTCTCTTGATCGCCCTCTCTCTCCTCTTGATCGCCCTCTCTCTTCTCTTGATCACCCTATCACTCTTCTATCACTCTCTCACTTCTCTTGATCGCCCTCTCTCTCTTCTCTTGAGAGAGAGAGAGAGAGAGAGAGAGAGAGAGAGAGAGAGAGAGAGAGAGAGAGAGAGAGAGAGAGAGAGAGAGAGATAGAGAGAGAGAGAGAGAGAGAGAGAGAGAGATAGAGAGAGAGAGAGAGAGAGAGAGAGAGAGAGAGAGAGAGAGAGAGAGAGAGAGAGACTCCAGCACCAAACAGATCCTTGTAGCCCCCCCCCTCTCTCTCCCAGCTGTTACTAAGGACCTGTCTCTGAAGTGTCCTGCTCCAAACCCCAAACAGATCCTTGTAGCCCCCCCCCTCATCTTCCAGCTGTTACTAGGACAATGTCTCTGAAGTGTCCTGCTCCAAAAACCCCAACAGACCTTGTAGCCCGCCCCCCCCCCTCTCTCTCCCAGCTGTTACTAAGGACATGTCTCTGAAGTGTCCTGCTCCAAACCCCAAACAGACCCTTGTAGCCCCCCCCCCCCTCTCTCTCCCAGCTGTTACTAAGGACATGTCTCTGAAGTGTCCTGCTCCAGACCCCAAACAGATCCTTGTAGCCCCCCCCCCCTCTCTCTCCAGCTGTTACTAAGGACATGTCTCTGAAGTGTCCTGCTCCACACCCCAAACAGATCCTTGTAGCCCCCCCCCCCCCTCTCTTCCAGCTGTTACTAAGGACATGTCTCTGAAGTGTCCTGCTCCAGACCCCAAACAGATCCTTGTAGCCCCCCCCCCCCCTCTCTCTCCCAGCTGTTACTAAGGACATGTCTCTGAAGTGTCCTGCTCCAGACCCCAAACAGATCCTTGTAGCCCCCCCCCCCTCTCTTCCAGCTGTTACTAAGGACATGTCTCTGAAGTGTCCTGCTCCAAACCCCAAACAGATCCTTGTAGCCCCCCCCCCCTCTCTTCCAGCTGTTACTAAGGACATGTCTCTGAAGTGTCCTGCTCCAAACCCCAAACATATCCTTGTAGCCCCCCCCCCCTCTCTTCCAGCTGTTACTAAGGACATGTCTCTGAAGTGTCCTGCTCCAAACCCCAAACAGATCCTTGTAGCCCCCCCCCCTCTCTCTTCCAGCTGTTACTAAGGACATGTCTCTGAAGTGTCCTGCTCCAAACCCCAAACAGATCCTTGTAGCCCCCCCCCCTCTCTTCCAGCTGTTACTAAGGACATGTCTCTGAAGTGTCCTGCTCCAAACCCCAAACAGATCCTTGTAGCCCCCCCCCTCTCTCTTCCAGCTGTTACTAAGGACATGTCTCTGAAGTGTCCTGCTCCAAACCCCAAACAGATCCTTGTAGCCCCCCCCCCCTCTCTTCCAGCTGTTACTAAGGACATGTCTCTGAAGTGTCCTGCTCCAAACCCCAAACAGATCCTTGTAGCCCCCCCCCTCTCTCTTCCAGCTGTTACTAAGGACATGTCTCTGAAGTGTCCTGCTCCAGACCCCAACAGATCCTTGTAGCCCCCCCCCCCCTCTCTTCCAGCTGTTACTAAGGACATGTCTCTGAAGTGTCCTGCTCCAAACCCCAAACAGATCCTTGTAGCCCCCCCCCCCTCTCTTCCAGCTGTTACTAAGGACATGTCTCTGAAGTGTCCTGCTCCAGACCCCAAACAGATCCTTGTAGCCCCCCCCCCCCTCTCTTCCAGCTGTTACTAAAGACATGTCTCTGAAGTGTCCTGCTCCAAACCCCAAACAGATCCTTGTAGCCCCCCCCCTCTCTCTCCCAGCTGTTACTAAGGACATGTCTCTGAAGTGTCCTGCTCCAAACCCCAAACAGATCCTTGTAGCCCCCCCCTCTCTCTTCCAGCTGTTACTAAGGACATGTCTCTGAAGTGTCCTGCTCCAGACCCCAAACAGATCCTTGTAGCCCCCCCCCCCTCTCTTCCAGCTGTTACTAAGGACATGTCTCTGAAGTGTCCTGCTCCAAACCCCAAACAGATCCTTGTAGCCCCCCCCCCCCTCTCTTCCAGCTGTTACTAAGGACATGTCTCTGAAGTGTCCTGCTCCAGACCCCAAACAGATCCTTGTAGCCCCCCCCCCCCTCTCTTCCAGCTGTTACTAAAGACATGTCTCTGAAGTGTCCTGCTCCAAACCCCAAACAGATCCTTGTAGCCCCCCCCTCTCTCTCCCAGCTGTTACTAAGGACATGTCTCTGAAGTGTCCTGCTCCAAACCCCAAACAGACCCTTGTAGCCCCCCCCCCCCCCTCTCTTCCAGCTGTTACTAAAGAGCTGACTCTGGGTCAGTAGCTTCAGAGAGAGAGTAGATCTCATCAGGAGAACTCTCCCAGCAGAAACTCAGCTAAATGCTGCCGTGATGAAACTCCATATCATGTTCCAAACCACATGAAGGATTCTCTCTGAAACAGTATGGAGCTCAAACTCTTTCTCTCTCAGGTTTACCACAAGGTGACTTCCTTTTCATTTCCTGCTTCTTCACACATGCTCTCTCCAGTACAGGTTAGCTCTGAGTGTTAGCATGCTAATGTAAACACAGACCATATTACTTCCAGAACACGTCTCATTGTTTCTGACAGCAACGTTTCTGATTGGCCCGTGGGTGTAAAGCCCGCCCACATTTTAGTAATGTCGTCATGACGCAGCAAATCTGGATCAGCTCCGTTGTTCCCCCGTTTTTAGAGATGTGGGTACGGAGGAAAAGAGAGAGGGGTTTATTTCCTGACACTTTGAGAGTCTCCTGACACACGGGGGACACACCGGGGGGACACCGGGGGGACACCGGGGGGGACACATGGGGACACACCGGGGACACACCGGGGACACACCGGGGACACATGGTGATGTTTAAAAGACATCAAGAAGTGCATTTGACATGATAGGAGACCTTTAATGTGCAGCAACTGTGTGTTACAATGTTCAGAGAAGTGAACGCGTTGATTGATTGATTGATTGATTGATTGATTGACAGGTGTCTCAGGGGCTCAGGGAGGTGCGGAGGTCCCCCCTCTCTCTCACAGAGTACCTGCAGCTCAGTCTGGAGGAGGTAACACTCAGTTATTCACATTTAATAAAACAAAGTAAACCTACCTCTTCACCTGTCTGTCTGTCTTTCTGTCTGTCTACACCTGCAGGCCTTCTTCCTGGTCTACAGTCTGGGCTGCCTGTCTGTCTACCTGCACCAGGTAACTGTCTGTCTGTCTGCCTGTCTGTCTGTCTGCAGCAGGTAACTGTCTGTCTGTCTGCCTGTCTGTCTACCTGCACCAGGTAACTGTCTGTCTGTCTGTCTACCTGCACCAGGTAACTGTCTGTCTGTCTGTCTGCACGCACCAGGTAACTGTCTGTCTGTCTGTCTGTCTGTCTGTCTGTCTGTCTACCTGCACCAGGTAACTGTCTGTCTGTCTGTCTGTCTGTCTGTCTACCTGCACCAGGTAACTGTCTGTCTGTCTGTCTACCTGCACCAGGTAACTGTCTGTCTGTCTGTCTACCTGCACCAGGTAACTGTCTGTCTGTCTGTCTGCACGCACCAGGTAACTGTCTGTCTGTCTGTCTGTCTGTCTGTCTGTCTACCTGCACCAGGTAACTGTCTGTCTGTCTGTCTGTCTGTCTGTCTGTCTGTCTGTCTACCTGCACCAGGTAACTGTCTGTCTTGTCTACCTGCTTGTAGCAGGTAGCATTGAAGCCTGTAACTGTATAGAACTGTAGCATGTAGCATTAAAGCCTGTAGCAATGTAGCAGTATAGCACTGTAGCATGTAGCATTTAAACCTGTAGCAATGTAGCATGTAGAATTAAAGCATGTAGCAATGTAGCATTAAAGCCTGTAGCAATGTAGCATGTTGAATTAAAGCATGTAGCAATGTAGCATTAAAGCCTGTAGCAATGTAGCATGTAGAATTAGAGCATGTAGCAATGTAACATTAAAGCCTGTAGCAATGTAGCAGTTTAGCACTGTAGCATGTAGCATTTAAACCTGTAGCAATGTAGCATGTAGAATTAGAGCATGTAGCAATGTAGCAGTATAGCGCTGTACCATGTTGCATTTAAACATGCAGCAATGTAGCATAAAAGTCTGTAGCAATGTGGCATTAAAACCTGTAACAATATAGCATGTAACAGTAAAGCATGTAGCATGTAGCATTCAAACCTGTTGCTTGATAGTACTTTAGCATGTAGCATTACAACCTGTAGCAATGTAGCATGTAGAATTAGAGCATGTAGCAATGTAGCATTAAAGCCTGTAGCAATATAGCATGTAACAGTAAAGCATGTAGCATGTAGCATTCAAACCTGTTGCTTGATAGCACTTTAGCATGTAGCATTACAACCTGTAGCAATGTATCATAAAGGTCTGTAGCAATGTAACATGTAGAATTAGAGCATGTAGCAATGTAGCATTAAAGCCTGTAGCAGTATAGCGCTGTACCATGTTGCATTTAAACATGTAGCAATGTGGCATTAAAACCTGTAACAATATAGCATGTAACAGTAAAGCATGTAGCATGTAGCATTACAACCTGTAGCAATGTATCATAAAGGTCTGTAGCAATGTAACATGTAGAATTATAGCATGTAGCATTAAAGCGTGTTGCTATATAGTACTGTAGCATGAAGAATTATAGCATGTAGCATTAAAGCATGTAGCATGTAGCATCCCTGTGTAACACAAAGACACATTAAACTGTGTGCAAACCCAGCGCTGACCTTAGCCTTAAAGTAAACTTAAGTTTTATTTTGTGTCACACGTTGATTAATGATTTAATAAATTAAACTTCTTGTGGTGTTTTATTGAATGACAAAGTTCATGTCCTCTCCTGTGATTGGTCAGGAGCCCCTGTCAATCATCCAGCTGTGGAGGAAGTTCCGCTCGCTGCGGCCAGACTTCGTCAGCTCGTTCTCAGCCTATCAGCACCTCAGGAGCAAAGGGTGGGTCCCCAAAGAAGGGGGCGGAGCCAAGTACGGCGTGGACCTCAGTAAGACACATAAACAAACACAAACAAACACACAAACGTACGTGTATATATAGACTCTTCTTGCACTGTTTCTATTTTATTTGTTCTATGTTCCATATATATTCATGTTGCTCTGTTGGAGGAGGACTTCAGTTTTCCATATCTCCACGGTAGCTGCTGAGCACGTGGTGAGAGAGACTTGAAACTTGGATCTTGAAAAACTGACAGCTTACACGTGTAAAACTTGTCTGTGTTTACAGTGTTGTACAGGAAAGGACCTCCTTTCTACCATGCCAGGTAACACACACACACACACACACACACACACACACACACACACACATCCACACACACATCCACACACCACACACACACACACACACACACACACACACACACACACTTTACCTGCAACATTCTCTTATGTATTGGAGGAGCCTGGGACTATAAAGCCCTTTGACACACAAACACACACACACACACCACACCACACCACACACCACACACTACACCACACACACACACACACACCACACCCCACACCACACCACACACCACACACACACACATACACACATCCACACACACACACACACACACACACCACACCACACCACACCACACACACACACATACACACATCCACACACCACACACACACACACACCACACCACACCCACACCACACACACACACCACACACACACACACCCACACCACACACACACACACACACCACCTACACCACACCACACACACACACCACACACCACCACACCACCACACACACACACACACACACACCACACCACACCACACCACACCACACCACACCACACCACACCACACCACACCACCACACACACCACACACCACACCAAACCACACACACACACATACACGACCCACACCACACCACACACACACACCACACCACACCACACACACACACTTTAAAAGAGTTATTTTTCCCGTAGTTACTCTGTGGTGATCGAGCGGGTTGATGGTGCCTTCAGGGGCTCGGCGTTACGTCCGTTTTCATGGCGTTCTCTCGCAGCTCTGAGCAGGATCACAGCCAACGTCTCCAAGGTAACTTTGATCTAATAGTGTTCTCTTTATTTCGTCTTTCGCTGTAACAACGTGAGTTTGTGGGACGAACAGGGATTGTGATTCTTCAGGTGAGGTGCGTTTTGTTTTCCAGGAGCTGATGCTGTGTTACATCATCTATCCTGCCGGCCTATCAGAAGCCGAGCTGGACTCACCTGTGTGTCTGAGCAGACTCAGTGTTCAGGTACAAAGAGTATAGTTCAATAACACATTTTAATCCACACGTCATATTCTGCATAAAGTCTGCGTTTGATTCTGTTAAAAAAAGAAGCAGATATTTAAAGTCATGATGTTTTGAAACTGAGAATCAAGCAGCTCTTTTTATATTTTCTAACAATTAATGAATAAAACATGAACAAATATGTGGAGATTTTTAAATGAAATTCCAAAAACGACAGAAAAGTTGAATAAATGGATTTGTTTGCAGGAAAAAGTTTGTGTTGTGTTAATAAAGTTTGATTGTGTCAACAGGAAGTGATCGTCAGCAGGTGGGTGTCCTCCAAAGAGCGAACGGAGCAGGAAGACATCTGATTGGCCGACGCAAGGTGATGTCACTGTGTGATGTCACAAAGAGACTCATGACTTCAGCCAGAAGAGGCTTAAATATATTTGTACCTTTTTTTTGTATTAAAGTGTCAAAAACATGATGACTTTGAAAGATGAGTGTCCCTGAAAGCAGCACAGGTCCTCACAAGGACTCAATGACCAGGGAGTGTGTGAGTGTCCCTGAATACAGCACAGGTTCTCACAAGGACTCAAAGACCAGAAAGTGTGTGAGTGTCCCTGAATGCAGCACAGGTTCTCACAGGTTCTCACAAGGACTCAATGACCAGGGAGTGTGTGAGTGTCCCTGAATGCAGCACAGGTTCTCACAAGGACTCAAAGACCAGAAAGTGTGTGAGTGTCCCTGAATGCAGCACAGGTTCTCACAGGTTCTCACAGGTTCTCACAAGGACTCAAAGACCAGAAAGTGTGTGTGTCCCTGAATACTGCACAGGTTCTCACAGGTTCTCACAAGGACTCAATGACCAGAAAGTGTGTGAGTGTCCCTGAATACAGCACAGGTTCTCACAAGGACTCAAAGACCAGAAAGTGTGAGTGTCCCTGAATGCAGCACAGGTTCTCACAGGTTCTCACAAGGACTCAAAGACCAGAAAGTGTGTGAGTGTCCCTGAATACTGCACAGGTTCTCACAGGTTCTCACAAGGACTCAATGACCAGGGAGTGTGTGAGTGTCCCTGAATGCAGCACAGGTTCTCACAGGTTCTCACAAGGACTCAAAGACCAGAAAGTGTGTGAGTGTCCCTGAATACAGCACAGGTTCTCACAAGGACTCAAAGACCAGAAAGTGTGTGAGTGTCCCTGAATGCAGCACAGGTTCTCACAAGGACTCAATGACCAGAAAGTGTGTGAGTAGTCCTGAATGCAGCATGAATACCACATTGAGTCACGGAGTGTAATGGCGCGTTTCCACTACAGCGCGGAGCACGGTTTAAGAGGGCTGTGACGTCAGCGGCCCGTTTTTGGTTGCGTTTCCACTTGGCCTAGTACCGGCCGGCGGGTCCTAATTCACAGTTTTTCTGGCCTCATAAAATCGTGGGTCTAGGGCCAGAGACAACGAGGCTGAGTCGGGCTGAGTATGCTAAACTAGAGAGAGCGTCGCTGGCAAGGGGGCTACAACTACAACAAGATGGACATATTTGACCGTGATTTAATTGTAATACACGTTTCAAAATGATGAAGTAACAACACACTGATACCGGTTAGTAAAAACCATGAATTAATGCTTTGACAAGTCTGCAGACAGACGGCAGGCGAAACACCTTTTAAAATGCGTGTTTTCTAAATGGAGATTGGCTAAGCTAACGCAGTATATGCTCCGACCGTCCACACTCACAACAACGGCCTATACAGACATAAATAAACCAGCGCCTGTATTCACCATGACACAGGCAGTCTGTGGTTTGTACTTGTTTAACTTTTGTCTAGTTTCTGAACATATATGAGGAGCTGTGAGCTCTGAGTGCTAACAGCTAACGGCTGTGTTGTTTTTCTGGGGTTCTCATTGAAGATGACGTCACGGCTCCGCCTACACTGCGTTACTATAGATACTGCCCCAGTTCCTAAACTGTAATGGGAATGCGCCATAAAGTGAGCCAGTCCTAACGAGGCATAACGAGGCCTAGCCATACCGAGCGAGGCCGAGCGAGGCCGTGTAGTGGAAATGCGCCATTAGAGTGTCCCTGAATGCACCATGAGTCCTCAGAGGGAGTCAAAGACCAGCAAATGTATGAGTGTCCCTGAACGCAGCACGAGGCTCCGGGCTGCGTTTTGAAGCGTCCACGCGGCGGCGTGCGTTGAAGCTTGCCGGCGGGCGTGTCTGAAGCTCGACCAACAACCAATCACATGAATCTCCCGCCCCGGACACAAAAGCACGCGGTTTGATTGGCTAGAGCTTGTACTGGCATATGATTCGATTGGCTGACGCTTCCGTCGAAGCTTCAAAAGTTGAACATTGCTCAACTTTTGCAGCGAGCAACGCGAGCAAAACTACGCTTCGCTCCCACAATGCAGTTCGGCGAAGCGTGACGTCACCCCATTCAAAGTGAATGGGCTGAAGCGTTGAAGCTTCAACGCACGCCGCTGTGTGGACGGGCCAGGATGTTTCCGGTCCTTTGTGTACCGCGGTGCTGCTGCTAGTGTAACATCAACACGTTCATTTATAAATCAAAGATCTGTTCAGCTTTTATTGAATTTCGTACCTTTTGGTCAACAGTTAAGTGTTCCCACTTTAATGTGCATCATAATCTTATATACTTCATCATGAATTCTTCTATAAAGAGCAGGGTTTATAATCTTACAGAGGTTACCATCCAATATATTGTAATCAGGGGGGTAGTGATATGTTATAACCAGGGATGCAAACTTGTCACCTTTCGGCGAAATTCGCCGTTTTGAATCCAAAATAGGTCGATTGTGTGATTCATGTAGATCTGCAATACAAATATTTTTGGGGTATGGGGGGGGTCTGGGACCCGGAGTAATCTGCGGCCGCGAGCTGTTATGTGCCATCATGACACGCATGGTGTTCTTTTTTTATATATTCTAATGCAGCGCGAGCTGTGTGCTCGAGTCTTCCTGTCGGCTCTGCTCATGGATGAAGGTCTAGCTTCAGCAGCTACATTATCTACGGTGCGTTCGTTAATATTAACTGTGCGGTCCGGAGTCACTGTGGCACAGACTGGACCGCTGGTGAACAGCTGTTAGAGCGGGCCGTTCAGGTGTTCAGAGCAGAGCTCCCTGTCGGAGCGGCAGAGCGTGATGTGCACTGAAAAGTGTTTCTGTCGCAATATTATTTAATGAATCGTTGAGCTAGCTAACTAGCATACATTGTCACTATCTGCTAACGTTAGCTTTAGCCTTAGTTTTCAAATAGTTTTTTTCATAGGCTATAAACGGAGGTGGTATAAGTATATATCTTGTACTTGAGTAAAAGTAGAAGTACTCAGGTCTTGTACTTGAGTAAAAGTAGAAGTACTCAGATCTTGTACTTGAGTAAAAGTAGAAGTACTCAGGTCTTGTACTTGAGTAAAAGTAGAAGCACTCAGATCTTGTACTTGAGTAAAAGTAGAAGTACTCAGATCTTGTATTTGAGTAAAAGTAGAAGTACTCAGGTCTTGTACTTGAGTAAAAGTAGAAGTACTCAGGTCTTGTACTTGAGTAAAAGTAGAAGCACTCAGAGCTTGTACTTGAGTAAAAGTAGAAGTACTCAGATCTTGTATTTGAGTAAAAGTAGAAGTACTCAGGTCTTGTACTTGAGTAAAAGTAGAAGTACTCAGGTCTTGTACTTGAGTAAAAGTAGAAGTACTCAGATCTGGTACTTGAGTAAAAGTAGAAGTACTCAGATCTTGTATTTGAGTAAAAGTAGAAGTACTCAGGTCTTGTACTTGAGTAAAAGTAGAAGTACTCAGGTCTTGTACTTGAGTAAAAGTAGAAGCACTCAGATCTTGTACTTGAGTAAAAGTAGAAGTACTCAGATCTTGTATTTGAGTAAAAGTAGAAGTACTCAGGTCTTGTACTTGAGTAAAAGTAGAAGTACTCAGGTCTTGTACTTGAGTAAAAGTAGAAGTACCAGAGTGTAGGAATACTCTGTTCCAGTAAAAGTAGAAGCACTCAGATCTTGTACTTGAGTAAAAGTAGAAGTACTCAGATCTTGTACTTGAGTAAAAGTAGAAGTACTCAGATCTTGTATTTGAGTAAAAGTAGAAGTACTCAGGTCTTGTACTTGAGTAAAAGTAGAAGTACTCAGGTCTTGTACTTGAGTAAAAGTAGAAGTACTCAGATCTGGTACTTGAGTAAAAGTAGAAGTACTCAGATCTTGTATTTGAGTAAAAGTAGAAGTACTCAGGTCTTGTACTTGAGTAAAAGTAGAAGTACTCAGGTCTTGTACTTGAGTAAAAGTAGAAGCACTCAGATCTTGTACTTGAGTAAAAGTAGAAGTACTCAGGTCTTGTACTTGAGTAAAAGTAGAAGCACTCAGATCTTGTACTTGAGTAAAAGTAGAAGTACTCAGATCTTGTACTTGAGTAAAAGTAGAAGTACTCAGATCTTGTATTTGAGTAAAAGTAGAAGTACTCAGGTCTTGTACTTGAGTAAAAGTAGAAGTACTCAGGTCTTGTACTTGAGTAAAAGTAGAAGTACTCAGATCTGGTACTTGAGTAAAAGTAGAAGTACTCAGATCTTGTATTTGAGTAAAAGTAGAAGTACTCAGGTCTTGTACTTGAGTAAAAGTAGAAGTACTCAGGTCTTGTACTTGAGTAAAAGTAGAAGCACTCAGATCTTGTACTTGAGTAAAAGTAGAAGTACTCAGATCTTGTATTTGAGTAAAAGTAGAAGTACTCAGGTCTTGTACTTGAGTAAAAGTAGAAGTACTCAGGTCTTGTACTTGAGTAAAAGTAGAAGTACCAGAGTGTAGGAATACTCTGTTCCAGTAAAAGTAGAAGCACTCAGATCTTGTACTTGAGTAAAAGTAGAAGTACTCAAATCTTGTACTTGAGTAAAAGTAGAAGTACTCAGATCTTGTATTTGAGTAAAAGTAGAAGTACTCAGGTCTTGTACTTGAGTAAAAGTAGAAGTACTCAGGTCTTGTACTTGAGTAAAAGTAGAAGTACTCAGATCTGGTACTTGAGTAAAAGTAGAAGTACTCAGATCTTGTATTTGAGTAAAAGTAGAAGTACTCAGGTCTTGTACTTGAGTAAAAGTAGAAGTACTCAGGTCTTGTACTTGAGTAAAAGTAGAAGCACTCAGATCTTGTACTTGAGTAAAAGTAGAAGTACTCAGATCTTGTATTTGAGTAAAAGTAGAAGTACTCAGGTCTTGTACTTGAGTAAAAGTAGAAGTACTCAGGTCTTGTACTTGAGTAAAAGTAGAAGTACCAGAGTGTAGGAATACTCTGTTCCAGTAAAAGTAGAAGTACTCAGATATTGTACTTGAGTAAAAGTAGAAGTACTCAGGTCTTGTACTTGAGTAAAAGTAGAATTACTCAGATCTTGTACTTGAGTCAAAGTAGAAGTACTCAGATCGTGTACTTGAGTAGAAGTAGAAGTACCAGAGTGTAGGAATACTCTGTTCCAGTAAAAGTAGAAGCACTCAGATCTTGTACTTGAGTAAAAGTAGAAGTACTCAGATCTTGTATTTGAGTAAAAGTAGAAGTACTCAGGTCTTGTACTTGAGTAAAAGTAGAAGTACTCAGGTCTTGTACTTGAGTAAAAGTAGAAGTACCAGAGTGTAGGAATACTCTGTTCCAGTAAAAGTAGAAGTACTCAGATCTTGTACTTGAGTAAAAGAAGAAGTACTCAGATCTGGTACTTGAGTAAAAGAAGAAGTACCAGAGTGTAGGAATACTCTGTTACAGTAAAAGTCCTGCATTCAAAATGTTCCTCAAGTGAAAGTAGAAAAGTATTCTCATCAAAATATAGTGAAAGTAGCGACAGTAAAAGTAGTCATTGTGCAGATTGGTCCATTTCAGAATAATATATATGATATGTTTTATAATGATTGATCATGAAAGTGTTCTCAAAGCTGGTAAAGGTGCAGCTAGTTTGAGTGACTTTGTATACTGCAGGGTAGCTTGTGGATTTACTCCAGGTGGAACTAAAGTCTGATTTAACACTTGGTTATATTTCACATCATTCATCCACATCTGTGAAGTAACTAAAGGTATCAAATACATGTAGTGGAGTACAAGTACACCATGTACCTCTGAACTGTAGAGGAGTAGAAGTACAAGGTAGCAACACATGGAAATACTTAAATAAAGTACAAGTATCTCAAAATTGTACCCAAGTATAGTACTTGAGTTTATGAACTTAGTTACTTTACACCACTGGCTATACAGACAGAAAGACTAAGCCTTGCACAGAGGCATGAAAATACATTTTCAAAATGCTCAACAGTGCTGCCAACATTATAAACTGACTGCTACACAATTAAAATAAATGCTTTTATACATTTCTATTAGATGTGACTCTTTGGCGTTTCTGTTATTAACTGCTTTAGTTGTTCTGAATGCTAACATCCTGTTGTTCCTCATTTTAAAGCCGATATTCCGTGGGGTCGGGGGGCTCGGATCCTTGTCACCTTTTTCATACCTGATGAGTTTGCATCCCTGTATAACAGAGTGCACTGTAAAAAAGGATTTGATCAATAAGTTACTCTAACTTTCCTCTTTAAGTTACTTCCACTTAATATAACGATGTATGCAGTTTCAACTTCGTTATATTTGAACTCAGCTTTATAAGCCAGTTCAATGACCTGTACATTCTGTAAAGTCTATTTGTTTTAACCTGTTAAGCCCGAGAGACCCCGGTACCGGGGCACTGCCGCAACATCTTGCAGGAAACAGTGTCTGAGGGCATGTTCATTTAATAAACTATGAATGTTTTATATCCATGTAACGGGAAGAAACTCATCGAACTGATAATTTTTTTTTTTTTTTTTTTTTTTAAAAACACAATGCTAACGCTGATCCTCTGAATTAGCAACGAGCGAAAAATGCTAACAGATTACTGCACCGAAACTCACTCATAAAACCTTATTATTTATCTCTTCTCCACATCCAACCCATCGATTCACATCGTGAGATGACACAGAATCGATGGGTGCATACATTATCACTCTATGATACGAACTCGCGACTTTATAAACAAAAACAGACATCAAAACATGTGGCGCTAGGTAGCTAAAAACGCTAACATGGCTCACCTGTGTCGTAGTCTGGTCAAAAGTGGTCTTCAATGGCATTAAAACGATTAAAACGCTGCTGAAGTTAATCCATAGGTTCATCCAATGTGTCTGTGTCCCTTTGAAATGATTTCTGATAATCCATGATCAATAAGACTGCTTTTCCGTTTCCAGATGTCAGAGCTAGAGATAGCTTCACTCTGATTGAAAACTGCATGCGCGAAGCCCCCACCTTTTTTTTTTACCATGTGTGTGTGTGTGGTGAAATTCCCCTTCGATTCTATTGGCTCTAACGGTCAGAAAGATATGTCAATCACCAAAATCGACCAATGGGTTCCAGAGAAATGGTAAAAACCCCCATTGCCACCCAAATCACCTCAGAGGTGGAGTGTTTTTTGCTAAACCTCTCTAAAAAGGTCAAATGTCACTTGTTTTGCATCAATCTTGATACAGGGTACTTATTATATGTTGTACTAAAGCTTTTAGTCTACCTTACCATCATCCAAGGGTAGTTTTCACTATAAGTAAAAAATAATCTTTGGACGGACACTATCATTTACAGTTTTTTACTATGTTCAATCTGAATTTTCTTTAAAATAAAAAACATCTATATTGTTCTGACTTTTCTACATCCAACTCACAGGTTTATCATTACTTTGAGAAAAAATATTATTAATTTAACCCTTTTAGAAGGGAAGATATGGTCATTTGTTCTGGGAATGTCATTTTCGAGCCTGAGACCTGAAAAACAGGCTCAGGGCGAAATTAACAGAGTGAGTTTTGACCTGGGTTGTTCATGAACTTTTCATGGCCTCTTAACATGAAAGTGGCGATGATGAAATAGTCCCGGATGTTTGGTCTTAAAGTAGTTTTCATTGGATACAAGGCTTTTAATGTTTAGGGACATGAGATGTTTGTAATGCTGTGAATGGGTTTCAATGTGTGTCATTCTGACTCCCCAGGTTTTCTCATTATAAGTTAACCACTACTTGGAAGCATCATGTTAGTCTATTAATGTAATGTAGCCTACTATGTCTTTGTATGCTGCTGCAACGCAAGCATTTTCTAAATTGGGATCAATAAAGTAGGCTACATCTTATCTCTTATCTTATCTACAGCGCAGAAATGGGAAAGATCGTCTATTGTCTGAAGTTGGAATACAGAGGATTCCTGAAGTCTCGTTACTTCTGTGTTATGATCTCGCCGCCGGAAGTATCGCGGGAATTGCTTAGAGCGCCATTTAAAACACGTAAAGTCGTCGTAAGGGCAGCGACTGCGACCCGTTAACCGGACAGAGCGACTCACGGTCCCTCGGTGACCCACCCCCCACCAGGTAAGAGTCCCGGGATCCTCATGGAGACACCCGGGAAACAGCAGCTGTGAAGCGGATCCGAGCCTCCGAGATCTCAGCCTCGTGTGCAGCGGCTAGCCGTTGGAGCTAATGTGGCTAACAGCTAATGTAGGCTAATCTCTGGGAGAAGTGCTCAGAGTATAAAGAACTCGTATATAAATATATGTATATAAAGATATATGTTTAATACTTTGAGCAGTCTGATTGTAATCACACTATGTGTTCTATTACCAGAGGTAGTACTCAGATCGGTTAGTAAAAGTAGAAGTACTCCGATCGTGTACTTAGCAAAAGTAGAAGTACACAGATCGTGTACTTAGCAAACGTAGAAGTACACAGATCGTGTACTTGAGTAGAAGTACTCAGATCGTGTACTTAGCAAAAGTAGAAGTACACAGATCGTGTACTTTAGTAGAAGTACACAGATCGTGTACTTCAGTAAAAGTAGAAGTACACAGGTCGTGTAGAAGTACGCAGATCTTGTACTTGAGTAAAAGTAGAAGTACACAAATCTTGTACTTAGTAAAAGTAGAAGTACACAGATCTTGTACTTGAGTAAAAGTAGAAGTACTCAGATCTTGTACTTAGTAAAAGTAGAAGTACTCAGATCTTGTACTTAGTAAAAGTAGAAGTACCAGAGTGTAGGAATACTCTGGTACAGTAAAAGTAGAAAAGTATCAGCATATAGTAGTGATTGTGCAGATTGGTCCATTTCAGACTGTGTAGTTTATACATTGAGTTAGTGAGATTATGACTCTAAATGTGTTTTTATAACAGTAAGTTGGAGCTAGTTTGAAGTCAAAGTCAACTTTATTGTCCATCTCAAAATATGTTTGTACTCACAGAAAGATCGAAATACACAGAAAGACTTTATAAACTGCTGCTGAATATCTTAACCTGTAAATATATCTCAACGTTTATATAATAATCAATTTATATGTTGTATTGGCTAATAATCTAAACCCAGAAAGTAACAAGTATCTACAAGCTGTCAGATGAATTGCAGTAGAGTAGAAGTAAACAGTATCATAAACTAAGAATACTCACATAAAGTACAAGTACCTCAAAATTGTACCTAAGTACAGTACTTACTACCCACCACTGTATAAAACTACCAGATTAAAGTTGAATTGACTTCAGTCAGAGCAAACTGAGTGTTGTTCAGTTCTACTAAAGTAACTTCTGTGTTTCTGTGTACAGCAGCGTGTATTTATATGTAATAATACCACCTGAGGTGTTAGGGCTTCTGAGACACTGCTGTGTAACAGAAACTCAGGAACTGCGCTCAACCACACGTACTCTCAAACTAGGGCTGAGCGGTGTGACAAAAAACTAATATCTCTGTATTTTTGTACATTATAACGGCATCACGGTATTTATTTATTCTTCAATGATTGGAAATGTATTTATATTTATATGTTTTGGCCGCACCAAAAACCCCTGCCCAGTGGAGGCCCTCAAGGGTCTGACGTGGTGAAGGGATCACAACTACAAAGAGTAAACCATTATACTGTGCTAACTTTGCGAACAACAAAAGCACTGTTTGAAAATGTAAACAAACTACCTTCTCCGAGTGTACACTTAAATACTTCCCCTGGGGACTCCTTTCACTGTCGCACCGCTCGAGCGCCCTTCGACACTTTTTCAACAGTCTGAAAAATGAAAAACGATGAAAAATGAATATCACACGGTATAAAGTTCACGGTATTCTGTATGAAGCGATGAATTATAATTTACACTTTTGACCCCGTGTGAATCCTGCCTTTCACTCTGACCGCTCGCTGCTATAATAACGCCTGAATGTATGGCTCCAAAGTCTCCATCTCAACTTGTCTCTGATGTGTGTGTGCAGCATGGCGGAGGAGCTGGACGTGGAGGCGATGCTGGAGGCTCCCTACAGGAAGGTGAGATCTGATGATGATGATCGGCACTGCTATCTCCTCTGATTCAATATGGATCTGATGATGCATGTGTCACTGACCGATATGAGCCAAGGATAAACAGATTAAATTCATATTTCAGGGACAACAGAATCAGAGGAGCTTTATTCGTCCCACAGCGGGGACATTTAGATTTGATACAGCGGGTGAAGAGCCAAAGACAGCTTAGTATTAATTAAGAAACTTGCATACAAATATGAAAACAACACAATTTACAAACTACACATCCAGTACCAGTAACAGGTGTGAGACAGCAGCCAGGTGGTGGTGTTACAGGTGGGAGTGTATAGCACAGTTATTCATAGATGACAGAAGTTGAATGGTCTAACTAAGAGACAGCAGCCAGTAATAATAATAATATTAATCAAGCTGTATATATATTTATATATATTGCACGCGAGTAGTTTTGCACAACAGGGTGTTGTAGTGTTCTGACTCCACAGGGAACTGTCTTGGAGCTCTTAAGAAGCAAATTAAACTTTTTAATCCATGAAAACTAGGCCTTAAACTCTAGACTAGATATGGCAATGAAAATCTGACGACCCAATCTCTAAGAGGATAATAAGGATAAGATGATAGATACTTTATTGATCCCAATTAGGGAAATGTTTGCGTTGCAGCAGCAAAAAAATAAAGGCATTGCACATAAGTAGAAATAAACAATACTAGCATTTAAAACATCTCAAAATGGAATTAAAGTAGAAAATGTACAGTAGGCCGTGAGGGGTTAAAGCTTGGTGCATCCACAAAGAGGATATTAAAATGTGACACACTGACGGGATCACAGGCTCAAACACACACACACACACACACACACTCCACAGGGATCCCTTAGTACCTGTGGAGAGGCGACGTTAGCTTGTGTACAGAACGGTCTGTCAGCGTGAATCATGGCTTTAGAGATGTCTGATGTTCTGAGGCCTCATTTATGAAGCCTTGCGTAGGATTCACGTGGGAAGGTTGCTTACGTAGGACAAAGCAAATAAATACGCACCAACATTTTCCAATTCATAAAAGACTGCGTACCGGCGCAGGACTTGCGTACGGCACATCCTACACCGGTTCCCCTTTTATAAATCACAATCAACTCGAAATGCGGCGCAGCTTTTGCTGGCTTCACGTAACGCCCATATGTGCCTATAAATAGTCAAAGAAACGCCCATTCATTCATTCATCCATTCATTCATTCATTCATTCATCCATCCATGACTGCATGAAGGAGATCGCAGGGAATGAGGACAGAACATCTAAAAAAGACATCTCACACCGTGTCAGATTTAGGTTATTGTGGGGAGGTGGAGATAAATCATATTGTTTGGTGGATGCAGTTTGAACCAGAGTAGCAGCATGGAGGTCGGATCGTCACCAAAATAAATAAACAAGTGGTCCGAAAAAAGTTAATGACAAAAATAATACACATAGCCTTCCTCAGGCAGTGTGTTTGTACCGGGGACAGGAGACCCCCCCCTTGATGAGAAACTGTAAGAAATGATGGGGGAATCCCTCCGGAGTGTAGTCATGACGACTGGATCTGAATGATTGTGTTGTATTTGGTGGTTTGTGTTCCAGCTGTCGATCAGCAACTATATATCCATAATCCACCAGTTAAAGGAAATACAATGTGTTGTGTTATATTAGCTGTTTACCACATATGGTGTTCTTAGTTTCCATACCTCCTGGGTTTTACGAGCGACTTATCAAGTCTTGGCAAACGGCATAAATATAAATAACGGTTCTGGTGTTGGTCAGGTGGTTGGAGACGGTAGATGTCTGATGTTCTGGGGTTGGTCAGGTGGTTGGAGACGGTTGATGTCTGACGGTCTGGTGTTGGTCAGGTGGTTGGAGACGGTAGATGTCTGATGTTCCTGGTGTTGGTCAGGTGGTTGGAGAACGGTAGAATGTCTGAATGTTCTGGTGTTGGTCAGGTGGTTGGAGACGGTAGATGTCTGACGGTCTGGTGTTGGTCAGGTGGTTGGAGACGGTAGATGTCTGATGTTCTGGGGTTGGTCAGGTGGTTGGAGACGGTTGATGTCTGACGGTCTGGTGTTGGTCAGGTGGTTGGAGACGGTAGATGTCTGATGTTCTGGTGTTGGTCAGGTGGTTGGAGACGGTAGATGTCTGATGTTCTGGTGTTGGTCAGGTGGTTGGAGATGGTAGATGTCTGATGTTCTGGGGTTGGTCAGGTGGTTGGAGACGGTTGATGTCTGACGGTCTGGGGTTGGTCAGGTGGTTGGAGACGGTAGATGTCTGATGTTCTGGTGTTGGTCAGGTGGTTGGAGACGGTAGATGTCTGATGTTCTGGTGTTGGTCAGGTGGTTGGAGACGGTTGATGTCTGACGGTCTGGTGTTGGTCAGGTGGTTGGAGACGGTTGATGTCTGACGTTCTGGTGTTGGTCAGGTGGTTGGAGACGGTAGATGTCTGATGTTCTGGGGTTGGTCAGGTGGTTGGAGACGGTAGATGTCTGATGTTCTGGTGTTGGTCAGGTGGTTGGAGACGGTAGATGTCTGACGTTCTGGTGTTGGTCAGGTGGTTGGAGATGGTAGATGTCTGATGTTCTGGGGTTGGTCAGGTGGTTGGAGATGGTAGATGTCTGATGTTCTGGGGTTGGGTCAGGTGGGTTGGGAGACGGTAGATGTCTGATGGTTCGGGTGTTGGTCATGTGGTTGGAGACGGTAGATGTTCTGATGGTTCTGGTGGTTGGTCAGGTGGTTGTGGAGACGGTAGAATGTCTGACGTTGCTGGTGTTGGTCAGAGTGGTTGGAGATGGTAGATGTCTGATTTCTGGGGTGGTCCG